GTGTTAACTGTTTTGCAAAAGGGTGGGAAAATGTGTCAATCCAATGAGAACGTGTTTACACATGTGCAATATGTGTCTTCTGCTCTGCTGGGTTAGTGATGATGAAAACTGAGTGTGTCCTAGTCTCTTTAAACAGGTCAAAGCAATAAAGAAAAACTGTAAATAAAGGTTAAATTAAAAACACAATATCCACTGCATTTCACCAATGCACTGTTAACCTTCCACAAATATCTCAATTCTTTTGCACCATTTAGTTCAACATTCTACAAAAACAGTGAACAATAAAGTCACTTGTCATCAGCTAGCTGCTGTTATGTCATCTAGCATGATCTCATAAAGAACCAGAAACACAAAAGATGGACTATGAAAAAAATGAAACGGCAATGAAAATTTAGAAGTGATTGGAAGCTGGAGTTGTTACAGATGGGGCCAACTTAAATTGCTGGCTGGACCACGGTGGAACCATGGCCAATATGTGACAGACATGTGTATGGCCTCTGTTCTTACAGTGTATCCCCCACAATGATGTAGTGATCGCAGTGCCACCTTGTTAACACCCCTAAGTACCTTGTATGCCAGCCACCTGCAGTGTTGTATACATCCGCCTGGTGGAGCAGTGATTTTTATAGTTTACTGGAGAGGCCGACTGATAGTTCAGCTCTATGCTATAGAAAAGACACAGTTGCTGTCAGCCTCTATTACTTTTTTCTGCTATCCCAAATAGTACTTCTGAGTTTTTCAGCATTTCAGGGCCAGTCTGGGACAAAAGACACATTCTCTCTAAACCATGAGCTATGATAAATAAAAAATACTCAAAAAAAAAATCAAAAAATACAAAGAAAGAATACTGAATGTTATAAAACTGGACTAAATGCACTTAAAAAGTTTGCATATAGCCTATTCCTAATCTTAACCTGTTTAAATTCACTACATTTAAAAATATAAATAAAATTGAGCAAGAATCTTTAAAAAAAATGTGTAGCTACTTTGATGCTTTTCCTCAGCTATACCTTGCCCCTCCAGGTAATCAGCAGCAGGTCAGGCAGGGATAGTTGGAAAACAAGCAGGACCACGGCCCTTGAGGACTGGAATTGGCCACCCCTGGCATAGAATTTCAGAAAGTGAATAAGGTTACCATGTTTGACCCAGAACCTGTGGTGCCAGCAGAAGATCTGTTTGCCAAAATCAGAAGCAGCAGATTCTTCACTAAACCTGTCTTTACCCAATGATACTGGCAAATTCATGTGCAACCTATAAACATCCACCTGATGGCTGTTCTGAATTCTTGAGAATACCATTTGGGATGATCAGTTCAGGGGTTACTCTTTAAAAGACATTAGAATACTGTTGGCTGGTATGCAGCACACTGAGAGTTACATAGATGACATCGTGGTCCGCACAGCCAACTGGGAGAATCATCTGATGACCATGAAGGGGCTCTTCAGGAGGATCAGAAAGGCCAACATGATGGTCCAACCCTCTAAATATACTCTAGCAAAGGACAAAGTGGACTATGTAGGTTTCACTCTACAACCAAGCACCAAGGAACCCTTAGGCCAAAAACATTAAAAACAGTCAGGGATGCATCCAAGCCAACTACTCATTCTTTTGACTGGATTTTATAAAGCATACATCCCCAACTATGCATCTATTTCCACCCTACTAACCGATTTCGCAAAGCCTGGGGTGATGCTCAGGGCAAAACATTGAAAGCTATTTTTCCAGTTCTCTTAACCAGGAACTCAGAGAGATGAGGCGGTCCACTTGGATACAAAAAACCGTGCTGGTTTGTTCAAAGGATCACAGGCAAAATTAACATTACACGTCCAGGTATCTTCCACCTCCAATACTGCACGCA